CTTGCTCCCTTGAGGCCAGAGGAATCCAGTGGCAGTTGAGGGTTTGAATTGTAAATCAAGCCTGTCATCTCCTTGTCAGCTATGGAAATCTCAATTGACTTTGTGTACTATTAGGGTTTATTTTTAGAATTTTTTGTTGTTTTCCAAAAAATTTGATGGAAAATAAGGCTCCGTGAACCCTTTGCTCTTGTTGAGCAAATAAATCTGAATTTGGAATTTTGAGAATTTTAGTACTATTTAAAAGTTTTTAAATGATGAGAGTGTCTACCACAATTATGACTAGTTCTAACCAAAGCTATGGGATGTGTTTTTCAGACAGCTCTCTGCGGGGGTCATACATGGCACACAGCAAACAGACTAGACTTTGGTGGTTTCCATGTCTATGGCAACATTAACGGGTTAAACTTATAATGAGTTAATACATTTTCATGTGAGATTTTATGAAAACTAGCTTTACCCCACTGTGTTCACCAAAAGCAAGCACCTCTGACTTTTTTCCATGAAGTCTGGGGACTTCAAAGGCCATAAGTGGGCACAGGTGGAATGGAGGGTCACACACAAGCTCTTGCCTCATTGAAAATTTGGATTGGGGACCAAAAAAGTAAAAAAATAAAAATAAAATAAAACAAAATAAAAAAACCACTGCCACAAGAGTAGGGAACAGGCAAGCTGTTTGGGGTGGTTTATTATGATGATTCAGGATTCATTATCCATTCCACAAATATTTATTGAACGCCTACTATGGAAGCTTTATGCAGTGGTGCCCAGGGTATGGTGATTGCCAAGTAAAACTTGGTTTATTAAAAAATCCCAGCTAGTAAAATAACTGAATGGGAAATGAGAAGATGAGGCCTGACTTCTGAGAACCAAATGTGGAACAACCTGGTGAAAATCATGTCTGAGTAATTTGCCCCCACTTGATGGATGATAAAAGAATCTATGCAAGGCTTTAGCAGGAGTCTGTTTGAGAAAATAATTACTGCAATATGTGCTAGAAAAGAACCATAATAATAGACCATAAAAAATAAACCATGGCCCTTGACTAATACAGCAGACCAGATCATAACTGGTTGACAAAAGTAATGAAGCCTACAGGGTAGAGTGGCACCATTTAGTGGAACCATTGCCAACGCCTACACAGAAAGGAATTAGCAAGGGAGTGCTGTTTGCAGAGGCCAAATGTGGGAACTGCGGAGCATCAAAATAAAGCAGTTGAGGTTTATATACCACTATAGAACACACCCACTCACCTCAGACTTAAACTTAATTTATATCAGCAACTGCCATTTTACCTTAACACTTTTATTCCAGTGTTATGTTGCTGAACATATCTGGTCCATATTTATTGCTTAGCATGTACTAAATTGATACAGATTCTTTTATATTTAAAAAGTAAATATAAGGACTGGGGCTGGGGCTCAGTGGTAGAGTGCTTGCCTAGCTGGTGTGAGGCACTGGGTTCGATCCTCAGCACCACATAAAAATAAACAAATAAAACAAAGGCATCCTGTCCATCTAAAACTACAAAATATATAATAAAAAAAAGGAAATAATAAAATGACCGTAGTCACTCAGAATAGTCACCAATAGTGGTGACTAAACTCTATAAACGATTTGAAGACAGACTCTGTATTTCTCCAGTGGTACTTTCTGAGGCAGAGTTCTTCTCCTGACCCAGCTCAGTGGATATCAAATTCTATTGATCATAACATCCACATCGTGAAGGTGCCATGAGATGAGTCCCAGCTACATGGCTGAGCCTTGTTAGGTCACCAGGCACCAGCATCAGAATATAATTCCAGGGTATTTTCTATGACTCATAGGCAAATTGTAATCAATAATTAAGATGGGTCACCAATTCTAATATTAAACAGAGATACTAGGTGTGAGTATGATAACCCCAAGCTTATGGGGAAGGTTGGCATTTGGGTAGGTCAAGGTTTGGGATGCGTTTGTGTCCTTAGTGGAAAACTGCTTTCTTCTTATAAGTGCCTGAGCTTGGTCAGCTCTTCCTTCGCTTTGGGTTATTAATGAATCTCTTTCAACTTTCAGCAGAACTTCCACTCTTGACCACTTCTGTTGCGTGGATATTAATTTAAGTGTAATCATTAATTACTACTTTCAGATGTAGGCCCGAAGTGTGGGCATTTAGCACTTCCCCATCTCACTGTCATGTAATCCTAATGTTAGTTGGTGAAAGAGGCTTTTCTTCATTATATTAGCAGGTAAAGTGCTCTGTGGTATCCAAGAAAGATTTACCTAGGCAAATAAGGGAATACTTTATAATTTTATTAATAGGGGATGTTTGCTCTTTGAGGATTCAGTACCACCTGTCCACAAATGTCTCCCACACCTAAGCACACACACACTAGATACCCAGCCCTTTTGCCATAACTTAAAAATGACTCAACCATGCAGTGAGACTCAAGAACAAGAGACCTGAAGATTAATGTCTTATAAAGGAGGGGATATTGAGGCATGAAGCAGTTAAATGATCTGGCAGCGCTCAAGCTGACAGACAGGAACTTTCCAGGAAAGCATTTTTAAAATTTTACGAGAAAAACAGATATATTTATTTAGAGGATAACCCAGTTACTCTGTTTATTCTACCTTTGGTCAAAATCATTTTATCAACTTTAAAGTCACTCTTTGAGACTCAGAAGGAAGTTGTCAGTGTTTGGGGAGGAGGAAGGCTCTGTGATCAGTGATGGCAAGATCAAATGAATAATGAGACATGAGAAGTTGATTTAATTGCTTGTGACTTTCCTCACACAAGGGCAGGCAGAAAGATCCCAAAAGTATCTGTGGTTTTTCTTCTTTCTTTTTTTTTGGATATAAATCAGCAGTGTGACTCTGTAAAGATTTATCATATATGTTATGTAGAACTAGAGCACAAGAGTTGGAAGGGTGCAGATACTAAAAAATGATACATATCTAAGGAGATGGAAATGCCAATTACCCTCATTTGATCATTGAAATTTGCATATGTGCTATTGAATCATCACACTGTACCCCATTCATATACACAATTATTATATGTCACAATTTTTAAATTAAAAAATGACTCCTTTCAATAAGCAACACATATGTATGTATAGAATACAGCAAAAGAACTTATATAATAACGCTCGATACAGGAAATCTGTAAAATTATGGATATTACTATCTTAGTCGGCACCCTTAGGAAGCCTTTCCAAACGAAGAGTGAAAAGGACATTGCTCTGTGAAAACTGCATGGGGGTGAGGAAGCATGGTTTAAAGGGTTTACATTTTTAAATTTTTAAATATCTTTCTAAAAGTGTTACCTAAGGCAAGTCTTCTCTCTTTGTGTTTTAGAAAAGTAAAAGTATGCACATATTTTCCTAAAGAATACACATCAAATACGGTAGTGTTTGGTGGAAGAAACACTACTGTATATATATAGCTATAAGCAGAGCTTATATTTTATTATATAGATATAAGCAGAGCTCCTTATTCCAAGGGTAAAGGGACTTTGGGAGTCCCTTTGGAATCACTCACAAATAGCATTTATTTTTATTTTTTATTTAAAAATTATTATTATTAATTATTACTGGAGATTTAACCCCAGGGACATTTTACCAATAAGTTATATCTCCAGCCCTTTTTGTTTTTTATTTTATTTTAAGATGGGGTCTCACTAAGTTGCTTAGGGCCTCAGCTAAGTCACTGAGACTGGTCTTGAACTTGTGATCCTCTTGTCTCAGGCTCCTGAGCTGCTGGGATTACAGGCATGCACCACTGAGCCTAGCTTTTTTTTTGAGACAGGGTCTTTCTAAGTTGCCCAGGCTGACCTTGAACTTGTAGTCCCCCTGCCTCAGCTTCATGAATAGCTGGTATTATAAGTATGTACCACTGCAAAAGTAGCATTTTAAAAATTCAAATTGCTTCCTGTGCACAAAGTAAAAGCAATAGGTTCTAATTTAGTAATAGACAATATACCACTAACTGCCCATGTAACTTATGTACACTTAACTCTAAAATTGGTTAAAAAAACAGAAAACTACTCAAATTGTGTAACAAATTTGTGTACTACGTCCTGTGAAATTTTTTTTTTGAAAATTATGTTGCTTTGTGGATTGTTAACCACAAAAACCCATACATATATACTGTGCTGCCTTTGGGGAGGATTTGCAAAAGTAATTTTGACTATACTGAATTTTTGCCTAAAGAAAACACTTAGGACTGAAAATTTACCTAAGAAAAGATCATAGTATTGTTTAATGTATTTTGGATTATAAGATTTTTCTCCTTAAAATTACTTCATTCCAGCTTATTTATCTAGATCAGTAAGTCAGCAGATTCAGTCCTGTATTATTTTCAAATCAGCTTATAAAACAAAATTATCAAAATATCTGGGGTACCTTTGCTGACTTCTATTTACTTCTCTTTCCTTACAATATGGGTAATTTCTGTTGAGGCTTCATCAGACACCTGAGCTGAAAGGGAATTTGGGACCATGACTCACCAGCAGAATAATCTGATACACTGATTCCAGGGTTACTTGTGCAACACTGCAGCTTGCTGGGGTCATCACGGGTATCACTTAACATACTGTTTAGGGTCGGCCCTCCTCACACTGAGGACTGATTACCAAGGGGGCTGTCATATCTCCTGCTGTCCTAAGTAGTCAGTCCCAGAAACATTCAGCAGGGCTGAGTCAGCCTTTTGCCTCAGAATCTTCCTGTGCTGTTGGGTCTTACCTGGTGGTAACTCCCACAGGTAGTTTTCCAGAGGCAGGATTTTGGCTGTGACATCTTGATGGCATTTTTTTCCATTATGTACTTAGGAAGGCACGGAGCCAAGGAACTCCAGCAAAGCAGGACCTGAGTTCATTCATGTCAGTGTTTGCCTCCTTGAATTTGGGAATCGGGTGCAGAAAAGGGGCTCTGAGCGACTGTCTTTCTCATGAGTCTCAGGCAGAAGCAGGAGATATTCATGAATTTCTGTTTTCCTTCCTCCCTCTCCCTCTGACCCTTCAGATTTATGAGGAATCCAAGATGAATTTGGAGCAGGAGAGGCCGTTTGTCTGCAGTGCCCCAGGCTGCTCCCAGGTGAGTGTGCAGATCCTCAGTGCTCGCTCCAGCTCGCAGCAAATGCACCCGCCCTCCCACAGGAAAGCTCTCACTGGGCGACCATGCCCGCCCTAAGCTTTCCTTCTTTACCAAGATACTGTCAAAGTCTGCCTCTCCTCCTCATCCTCATCATCTTCACCCTCACTATATTCCTCTTTGAATAGTTAAAGTACTCCTCTCTTACCTCTGAAGTACAGTGGTGTTGAACATTTCTGCCCATCATATCCCCCTAGAGGTGAAACCAGATGCATCCTGCCCATTAGACATGAAGGGCTGTCATTTCAGAAAGGGAAAAGGAAGTGCTTACTTTTCCAGAAGCCACTTGAATACTATCTGGGCCTCTGGATGACTAGTGAAATGCCTTACTATCATAGCTTAAATTCTGTTTTGTTTTATTGCCCCCTTTGAGTCAAAGAAACCCTCTCTAACTTTACTTTTTAGCACCTATGGTTTCCCTATGTATCTAAATCTCAAGAAGGAAAGACTCCTGCTGTACTGGGTGGAATCTCTCGGCTTCTGAGGACTCTCATCAAGTAGAAATGGTGTGGGGATCCGATGAGATGCTACCTGGGGATTATCATAGGGCCTGTATACAATTAGTGCTCAGTTAACACCCTGTCTCCTTACCACGACTGCTGCTAGGATTATTATACTGCAACCTGCCTTTTTGAAGGAAATTAGAAATGTCCATCACCTAAGGTCAGAGTTTTCCGTTTCTCTTTGGAACTTAGTAGTGACTTTTCCTACTTTTGACCCTTTGCGTAGCTCCCAGTTCTAATCATTTCCATTTGTGGGAAATGATCACACCTGCTTGCTTTCCTACTGAGATCTTCATTTTATGGGATATAACACAAGTTTAAAACTCAAAGCATAGGCATCTTCCTAATGTGGTAATTAGTCACACCCTTTCCCTAAACTGGACCCATGCTGCTCTCCCTGCCTATCTGGTTGGTGGGGTTGGCAGTACCGGGCAGAGCAGTGCCTAGGAGAGCTGTTGAGGACCATCGTTATTTATGTCCCCAGGGAATATGTGGAGATTTTGGGGAGCCTTCCAGAGGGAAGAAGCCAGAAAAACACAAAAATGTTTCCGGTGTTATGAGTTGGTGTTGTCAGCCGTGAACTGAGCAACCAGAGTCCCGTGCTCCAGTCCTGGAAGTTTCACCAGGGGATTTTGTGCCAATGTGTATTTCCGAAGTGTAAATAAGGAAAGCATTAGAGAAAATTATTTTGAAGCAAACTGGTTTTGAAGGTCATTCTGAAGTAGGAAGCACTAGGAAAACACAGATAGGTTGATAAGTAACTGGAGAAAATCCTGCTAGACCAGGACTCTCCATGGTGAGTGCAAAATATCATCTTACTAACCAGGTAAAAACCTGATCCCCTAACTGAGGTGAAACTGATTCTCAGCAGTTTTTTTTTTTTCCAAACCAGAAATCTTGATAGCCCAAGAGAATCAAATAATCTGAGCAGTTTCCTTTGCTTTGAGTGTGACAATGAGACATTAAGTTTCATTCAAGTTACTCAGCACATTTTTGTGGAGTTAGGAGGTGCCAGGCACTCTGGTTGCCCTGGGGAAACAGCACTGCACAAGACAGTGTCCCTACCCTCACAGAGCTTCTAATCTACACATCAAATCTATAACCACATGATCTGATGACTCTGTTTGCAGTTTTGAATAAAGACCATGGGCCACGAAGTATAAAGCAGGGGAACTGACTTTACCTGGGGAGGTAAATGGGAAGCTCTTTTAGAGAAAGGTATTTAATAGAAGGGGATCAACAGACACCTAGCAAAGGCAAAAAAGAGAATTGGGGGCAAGCTGGGATTCCTAGTAACGTCTAGGATTATGCATGACCACCTGATAATTAGACAAGTCAGGGAGAATAGAGCTACACATAAGTCCTTGAAGTATATGGCAGAATTTCCCAAGCATGGCACTGTTAATATTTAGGGGTGAATAATTTTTTGATGTGGGGCTGTGCATCCCTGACCTGTATCCACCAGATCCCTGGTCACACTCCACCATTGTAACAACCCCAGACATTGAGACATTTTTTGCCAGATGCCCCTTGGGGGCAGGGGCAAAGCTGCCCCTGCTTGAGAGTGACTGCGTATGGTTTGCATTTTGGGTTTAGCCTTGCTTTTAAATTTTTTTTTCTTTTTATCTTTCTGGCTTTAAACTCCCTTCTTTGAGTGGTCTACCTACTTCTAATCACTGCTGTCCCGTTATTTTATGAATTACTCTATGCTACCTTTCCTCCTTTTGGGAGTCAGGCAGGGTATAAATAAATCAATGCCACAGATGTGTGGTCACTGGTGTCAGATGCTGCTAGAGCAGGGATAGTTAGAGAACCCGGCCGGGCTGTTGCATTTGGCAGATAGGTTTTCCAGTGCCGCCCGACCCGGGAGAAGAGAAAGGCGGAGGCCAGATGGAAGGATTAATGAGAGAGTGGGCGGTGAGGAAGCGGAGGTGGCAAACATAGAGGACTCTTTCAGGAGCACTAGGCAGTGACGGGAAGCAGTGTGATATAATGGTAGCCTGAGAGGGAGGTAGCTTTTTTAAAATTAAAGGATAGCCAAGCTGAATTTAGTCAAGGGCAAGAAACCAGCGAAAGAGGAGGAGGGGACATGCTGATTCCCCAGATCAGGGCCTACAGACACCCAAGTGGGAGTGGGCATGCTCCTTCCTTGAGCCAGGTGGAGATGAAGGAGAATCCATGAAGTCACATGCAAATCCTGGGAGGTGACAATAAAGTTTGAACTGGGTTCGTTTTAAAATTTAATTCGGGGGGGCGGGGGGGAGAAGGAGTTTCTGGGGACAGAACCCAGGGCAATGAATATGCTAGGCAAGCTCTAACATGGATCCACACCCCCAGCCCTTACATAGGCTCTGTGAATGACCTTGAACATCTTGGTGAAGGAGCAGGTCGTTTCCTTGAGCACACTGAGTAGACTGAGTAAAAACTTGGTCAAATGTGGGAAATAAGGATTTTACAAAGTTTCTTGATTTTAGATGACAATTCCAAGCCTCCTTCCCACCTTGATGCATCTAAGACTCAATGTCCCCATTTACTGTGGAAGCATTTCTTTTTTCCTGACCAGCTCTCATAACAAGATGCCCATCTTTCAATTGAGGAGGACTTAGAGTTAAGAAAATATCATTGTCACCCAGTAGTTCCAAGTGTCTCCTGGTGGGATATTAGGAATTCCCAGTCAGGCTAATCTTTACCATCAGAACATTTACTTTAGGCACATTCCATGTCCTGGGAATCTGCAGGGAGGGAGTGCAGGCTGGGATTGGAAAAGGAGAAAGTGAATTATCAGGATTTGATTGTGGGAGAGGTGGAAGGATTTTTCTTCCCTTTTCTCCTTGGAAAGAAATTTGGCTTTATTAGGTATGGCCTGCGATACCTGTGAGATCTTTTAAGTTACAAATCCTTAGACGGGAGGAGAGACACGTTTCTCTTGTTCTTTGAAATCTCATAGTCCATTGTTACTTTCACTCTCCCTTTGCCCTCTGCGTTAACCACATTTTGAGTAACTCTCAGCTCTGCATCTGTCGCAGACTGTACATTTTGATTATTTACGATTTGCTGCTATTTTCCTACCTGATTTTTAAAAATTACAGTTGTCTTATAGTGTCTCCTTTTGAAAGTAATGAGAGTTAATATGAGCCAGTATGGGAATTATTAAGAAGTAGTCTAACATCCTAACATTAGGCTATTATTTTACAGAAAAAAAATGTCTGATCAATATGAAATGAGGGATATGAGCATGTTGATTATATATGTATGTATATCATGAAAATTATGTTTTTGACAAGAAGACAAAAAAATTTAACCCCTGTCTCTAAGTCACATGTGGTAGTGTTGCATATTGAGTGCAATCATATATGATGTTATAAAGACGAGAGAAGAGATGAAACAGAGGCAAAGAACTATCATGTCACATAAAATAAACTTCTGCCTATTCAGAAATTGGCCTAATTGCCATGCATTTCCAATTCTATGCTCTCCAATTTTTACTTATAATGAAAAGTAAATAATTGTTGTTTACACAAAGAACTACTTTTAGAATATTTCGTGGCATTCAGTCCAGGGAATTCCCTTGTTCTCATGAATACAAATCTATAGTCTTTGAAATTGAAATGTATATTGTCAATCTTGAGGAACTAGGAAGTTCTGAATGGATTTTTTAAAAAAAATTGTCAAAAAATGGAAATGTTCAGCAGAATTGTCTTTTCTTGTATTTTTATTTGATTTTGATAAAGCAGATACTCTGTTAAGTTTAATTATTACAACATATCGATCTAAGTCAGGATAGGCTAGGATCTGTTACAATAACAAAATCACCCCAAAGCTTCTATGGCTTAAAACATAAAAAACTCATTTCTATTATAGATTGGCAGGAAGCGCTTCAAAATTGTTTAGAATTCAGAAATGTTTTTCATAATTCTTCAGAGATTTAGGATTTTTGAGTGACTACTATTTCCAGTATTGCAAGTCACCATGATACACCACTAAAAAGATGAGGGGAATAACAGAGGATCTTACACCAGTAATTTCATGCTTGCCTCTGAGTGACAGGTCACTTTCATTCATGACTAAATGTGCAGAGCTAGTCACATGACTCCATCCAACAGAATAGGGCCAGAAAATCTAGTCCCACCTCAAGACCAGAAATCAGATAGCCAAAAATATTTGGAAGCAGCATTTTTTGAGAGGGTTAAATCACAGTTTTTGGGTTCTTTTTAGTTATACATGATAGTAGAGTATATTTTGACATAGTTATATAAACATGGAGTATATCTTATCCTAATTAGGATCCCCGTCTTGTGTATGTACATGATGTGGTTATTCACTGTTGGGAGCAGCATTTTTGATAATGATAATATCATTCCCTGAAAATTAAAAATAAATAAGCATTTACTATGCAGAGAATAGGATACTAAAAATAAGCTGTCATGTTACTATAAAATTGTATGTCTACTTATAAAAAACAGATAATGGATGGATCAGGGCTTCATAAACAGAAACATACTATACAGATGTCATGGTGTACATTTGTAGTATATATGTCAAGCATGGCATATAATTCTTTCCCAAAGTCTGACATGAATCAAAATTCTTTTCTATGTCATGCATTTCTCCTACTTTGGGTTAATCTATAGATAAATGTCTAGCATACTTGTCATGCCTTAGACTTAATTTTACACTATTATGTAAAACAGTAACCACTACAGAAAAGTTCCATATGGTTTTGCAAAATTCCAGTTCCTCACAGATCTAAATCCAGTTTCTTATTTTGGATATGGTCTTCTTATGTTTATAAGAAGAAATGGGAAATTTTTAATTTTTTCATGCTGCCATTAGTAAATTTTTTGTGAACATAATAAACATTAATTTAAATGCTATTTCTTTTTAAAAAGAAAGCTGCCAGCGTCAGGCAGATATTAGGGCATGGCACATTTTTGAAATATATGTATATATAATCATGTAATGATTTTATATATATATAATTATACATATATATATATATAATTTTAATTTACCTCTTTCTGTTTTATCCTTTAGTAAAACACAAAATTTTAAAGCCTACCCTCAGATGAAACCTTCTAGTTCCTAAAGAAAAATATAATGTACTAATTAGTCAGTGCAGTTGGTTAGATCCAGGGAATAGAAGTAGAGGCCTTTTAAAAAGTTCCCAGGGAAGATGTGGGGACTCAGAGAATGATTGATAGCAAAGATCTCTTATTCATTATCAGCACTCAGCCAGATTCTGCAATATAGTTAACCCTTTGGTAAACTAATGGAAATCATGATGCATACATATATTTGAGTATAAATGAAAGAAATATCTCAGCACATTTGCTTGCTTAGAATAGTTTGTAACTTTACTCATGCTTTCATACTTTTTTCGGAACTGATTGTTTTGCTTTTGCAAGTCACATTCACAATGTTAAATAAATCTTTTTCTCTCTGATGACAAATATGTGCTACAAAACTGACTATCTCTCCTTTCCATTCCTTTTTTCTATTTGTGCCACAGCGCTTCCCAACAGAGGACCATCTGATGATTCATAGGCACAAACATGAGATGACTTTGAAGTTTCCCTCAATAAAAACAGACAATATGTTATCAGGTAAGGGGCCATCATCAAAGAAGATTTGGATGGTCAGATCAGTTCCATACAAGAATTTTATTCTCCTTTGGGTGGGCTGATTACCCCTGGCCCATTCTGTACTTTGAAAATATACATGTCTGAGGTAGAGCAGAAATGCAATCAGCTAATGTAGTGTTCACTCAAATAATTGAAGAGCTGAGGCTTCTCATTTTCTGGAATGTGAAATACTTATCACTGTGAAACTTAGTTCCATGTAAGTTTTTCTTTTTCTTTTTCTTTTTTTTTAAAATCATATACCTCCAATCATGCAACCAGTATTAATTAGGCTTTGGTAGTGCACACAGTACTGTTCTGAGTGCCTTGGAAGATGCACAGATTGATATATTTCCTATCCTCAAGGACATCATGATAGAGCATGCATGTGAAAACTTAGCTAAAATGAAGGATCATACACAATATATCAGAGGAGTATTGTTAAGAGAAAAACGCTGTGCAGCTTTAGTGGAAGGAGCTCTTTTTAGGCTGAGGTGGTCAGTGAAGCTTTCCATAGGAAACAGTACCTGCTTTGAAGTGGGAGATTAAATGAGATAATACCTGGAAACACAGCAAGTGCTCAGCAAAAGTGAGCAGAAATAAATAATGCAAATAATTACTTTAGGCCATTCCTTCCCATTTTGGGTGGCAGGGCCACTCAGGAATAGGAGTGAGGAACCTGAACTCTAGCCTGGATTCTGTCTCATTTGGCTATATGATCTTGAGCAAGTAGTTGAACTTTTCTGAACCTTGGTTTCTTTCCCCCTAAAATGGGAACAATTGCATCTGCCCAGGCTTATTGTGAAGATCCAGCCGAAAAATTCCAGAGAAAATGTTTCATAAACCCTGGCAAGGGAGTCACATAATCTCCTGTGACCCTTCTCAGGATAGAAATATGTCATCTGAACCCTGGACTTGCTGGCATCATGAAAGATATAACACATCTATGAACATGTTTTAATTGGTATCAGCAGAGAAACCAACTGCTCTGGCAGACCTGGCTCATATATTTAGTGTTTCTATGGCACTTTCATTTTCCAAGTATTTTATCATCTCAGTTATTTGTAAATCTTCGGAGAGTCGTCAGACAGGTTATTACCAGGAAGCACTCAAGGAGTGGAGCAGCTTTTCTGGGCTCACTGAACAGGGCAGGGTTTAGGGTCCTTGATCCCTGATGTGAACTCTGTGATGGTGCCAGTTTAGACATAAGTTCAGATACTCCCAGTGTCAGAGCTGTCCACACAGCTTCCAGACCTGTCGGTGATAGTAGTACAGATGTGCTGTGATTTGGAAAACCATAGAGCTTCCCTGCCCCTCTCCTCCCTCTCTCTCAGCCCCTCTATGTTTTGTTTTGAGTGAATTGGTTCTTGGGGGATAGCTTCAACTTTCCCTACAAAGGGGCAGAAACTCCAATTTGTAAGAGTTATAATAGCCTAGAAAGGTTAGGGAACATGGCCTGGCCTTTAGCTTTCAGCATTTATGATGTTCTATGGAGTCACACAGAGTATGACTTCATACTCATGTACATATGCAAGTAGCAAGGCTGTAGACTGTGCAGTTCCCAATTTTTAAAATGTTAAATTCTTCCTATATTTTCCCCATATTGAATCCCTGAAATAGACTGCCTGATGGTAGAGGATTTGGAGGTGAATATCAGGGAGTGGCAGGTGTGTAGGGAGATCTCTGCTTTAGTGGTAGGTACCAGTGTAGTGTCTTTCAGGCAGGCTGCTAACTGGTCCTACAAGGAATGCCACCTGATGATCCAAGAAAAAACAGACAAAGATATGTGAACAATCGCATGAAGCATTCTTCTAAATATTGCCTAAAATAGGAAATAGGGTTTTGATTAATCTCTTGCAGCCTTTCAGTATTTTTTACCATATCCTTATTAGTTTGTGTGGCTGTTGCTGCCAATCATGGGCAGTGTCAGGTGGAAAATCATGGGAAGAAAAGTAACTTTAATTTTCACAATGTCAAATTTAAAATGAGAAAATGAAGGGAGAAATAAACATGAGGAAAAAAAACAGTAAGAATAATGTAGTGGTTTATTTTCTTTTGCTTTCTCAAGTTTGCTGTTGGAGTGGTATGAGACCATTTCATACTCCAAATGAAATCGAGTACTAAATTTGAAAACTTGCTGCTCACTTTGCATGTTCGTCATCTCATAGGGATTTTCTTACTAGAAGGGAATGCAAAAATATTCAGTTCGGCTCCATTTCCTTGCACTTGGAGAAGTGAAGTCTACTCTGTGTAATATACTGGTGGTGTCCACACTGAGTTATAATAGACTGTCTACTGGGTGTTTTACTTTGCTATTTTACTTTGCTAGGAAATACTTCAGTGTTTACTTATCTCAAACTTCATTTTTCGTAATGATAGTTTTAACATACTAGTTTGTCATTGCAAATTTGACCATCGGGTTTATTTGTATCTATTTTGAATTTCAATTTATCAAAAACTTTGGAGTCTACTTTTATTAAAAACATATTCATTAAAATTTATTTACTTCCAGCCCTGTCTTGTGAATAGATGAGTGAAAACGAATGGTTTTATATAGCTTAAAATGTAAAATCAAGAATAAAACTCGAACCTCAAATGAACAGCACAGCAAAACTCTAAAGTCCCTCTTGGACCATATTTTTCCCAAGCAATACTCAATTACATAAAATTGCATTTCAGATGAATTGGGGTTTAGCATATGTTAAGAAGATAAAATGTAGTAGGCGTATTTATGGCTACTACATTTGCCATTTTGTTGACCTTCATTTTGAACATCACTTTATCTTTCATTAGTTACAAGTGTTGCAGTTACTGATGGTGTTAAAATGTCATAGATATAGCATTCAAGAATAAGTTTCCAAGGCTGGATGTGTAGCTCAATGGTAGAGCATTTGCCTAGCATGCATGAGGCTCTGAATTAATTCCTAGCACTGCCCCCGCTCAAAAGAAAGAAGAAGAAAGCAAAGAGAAGTTTCCAAAGATCTGAAATACTTTCATAGACTTATTGGAAGACCCATTTTACCATTTTATTTATTCCAAGTAGAGTTTGCTACTCAAAAATGACTATTACTGATCAGTAATAATTATCACAGGGTAGGATAGTAAAAGCAGAAGTCATGATATTTTATCGAAATGAGTCTGTTCTTCTGGATAGACAATAAACAAACTTCTTATTCTAAAGGGACAGAATAAGGACACAAATGGGGATGGTGGTGTTGAGTTCAGGAGGCAAAGGCTTGGACAACCCTTCCTACTTTGGTCCTATCCTTTTGAATTGGTCTGCGTGATACTGATATGATGGTTCTGTATCCTTCCCTTTAACTGTAGTTTAAAAACTTCTGATTAGAGGAAATGTCATGGTGAGCGAAGTTGGGCTCTTGGGGGTTTTAAGTGCCAAATTTGAAATAGGACTCTGAAGAGGACAATGTACTTCCTCACATAAGTTGCAAAATTACGAGCTATTACGTGACAGATCCATCAATTTGAAAACCATGGTCAAATTTTAGTATAGAAATAAAGATGATGGTGTTTGAGTTTATTTTAATGGTATAATAATTAGGTACACAGGAATTCCCAAATTTTGACTCACTTCCACTTTTTTTTTTTTTTTAAACAGGGTCATTAGGTTTTATACAGGAAAACAAAAAACAGAATGAGAATCTGTTTTTAGGTTAGGTACAGAATTTGTACCTAAACAAGCAAATTATATTCCAAATGAAAATGCAAATTGTAAAAAAAAAAGATTGAAGCACATAGCCCCTCTTTCTTATTTCTTGCCATACGTTTTGGGACCAGTGAGTTCCATCTTTCCTGTGGAGAGAGTGAGATGGGCATCCCTCAGGGTAGAGATATACATGATTGAGTGTGTGTGTGTGTGTGTGTGTGTGTGTGTGATTTAGAAGGTAATTGATTTCACTGCATGGGGAAAAAGATGAAGTTCAAAAGTGCTGAGGATTTTTCCCAAAAGGTAAAACCCAATCAACATCTCAGGTGGGAAGCCTAAGAAAGAGACGCATTGGACAAGGCCTTTAAATGCCTAATAATCCCACTCCCAGAGGTCATGGCCTGTTAATGTTGCAGGAAGTGGGTCTGTCCTTGGAGGGAAGTTGGGGCAGGCACCAGCCCAGTAGCAGAGAGAGGAGCTGAAGTTGCGCCTCTATCACATCTACATACTATTTAACAAACATTTATTGAGAGCTCACAGAGGTCATCAAGGGTGTACTGCACTGGACAAGATACTTAAGATCCCTCTTATTATGGAACACACAGTAGTAGAATGTGGAAGAATTAAACAACCACAAGACAACCCAGATAAGTGAATAAGGAGATGTTACTAGTGACACATGCCATGAAGATAAAGCTTGACAATGTGACAGCAAGTGGCCAGCAGGCCACCTCAAATCTGGTGATCAGGAAAACCTCTCTGCATTTGTGTAAAGATCTGATGTGCAGCACTAAAATCAGTGTTCCTTTGTCCCTGACTTCTGCATATAGTGAGATTGGATGGAGCAGCCCTGCAGGACAGATGTGGTACAGCTGGCTGTCTCTTAAGCTGGCATACACAGGAGAGTCCAAAGACTGTTTCTTCCTACCATTTTCCTTCCCAATTTCTCAGCACTTATCATCTGGCGCAAGTGATGATACCATCCTTCAGAGCCCAACTCTGTCCCCAGGCTAGGTCTAGAATCAGGGCCCATCTCTAGTTCCAGGCTCTAAAGCTAATTCTCACCATGGAGAAAGCGAGAACATGATTTAATGAAGTGGAGCATTTGTCTCCAAGAGACTGGTCATGATCACCCCAACAGCCCAAATCCGTTGGTCATGGCCCTTTGCTACAAACCCTATTAATAATTCATGGACATTTTAAGGGGGGAACCAGAGGGAAGGTGCCATATGTAACTCCAAATTCTTTTTAGAATCAACTGGGATATTTTTTTTAAAAAGGGATCGAGGAAATAAATAATAAATATTACACTCTCTGTCTC